TGATTTTCCTTGGCCTGATAGAGATAACAATGATTTTCCTACACATGTTCAAGTGTTGGATTATTTGCATTCTTATGCTAAATATTTTGATGTGGTGAAGAACATCAGGTTTAAGTCGAAGGTAGTGGAACTCAAGTTTGTTGGTAACCCTAATTCTCAGAGAGGAATAGGGCTACCTAGTGAACTTGAGTATGGAAGTTTACTTACTGGAAAAACTATGTGGGATGTTGCTGTGCAGATCAATAACTCCCATGCAATTCAGGTCTTCATTTACTTTTAAGTTAATTGTTTTTTTAATATTAATTGGAACTAACTAGCTTAACTACAAATTTAAATCTCCTACAATTAAAAATCACACATGGAGATTTAGATTATTTTAAAGCTTACTTCCATGCATTTAGATTATTTTAAAGATTATAAATATGATCGCATAAAAATCATATCTCATATTTACATACTAAAGATTTATATAGTATTTTTTTAAAAGATAAACAAATCAATAAACATTAACAATTTAGGCTATATTATAAATTTATTAGTCTATTTTGATAATTTTGGTGTATTATTCTACATTAATTTTTATCATATTTAAATGCATTATTATATATTAAAGTTAAATAGAATTTCATATTTAATTTTTAAAAATTATTAATCTAAAAATATCAACAATTTTTTTACTTTAATACATTATAAAGAAATATATAAAAAAATGTTAGCATGAGAAAGTGATTTCTAAACCCCTTTCTCCTACTGACAGTTACACTAATTTATCTCAATTAACAGTTACTAGTTGAATTATCATATCCATTCTAATATATATATATATATATATATATATATATATATATATATATATATATATATATATATATATATATATATATATATATATATATATATATATATATATATATATATATATATATATATATATATATATATATATATATATATATATATATATATATATATATATATATATATATATATATATATATATATATATATATATATATATATATATATATATATATATATATATATATATATATATATATATATATATATATTCTTTAAAATATTATATTAAATATTAAAATTAATATTTAATTACATCAGCATATTAACTTATTAATATATTTAGAAACAAGTCAAATTAATATATGAATATATTTATAAAAAATATGCATTGAAAAAGGTTAATATATGATACCAGGCTTTAAAAAATGTCTAATTTGTATTTAAAAATAAACTCATGAACTTCTCCTTTAAAATTAAGGTAAAGTTCATATTTTAAAATAAACAAATAATATGATACAAGTTCAAACCGTGCCTTAGGTGTCTCTTACCAACTGAGTTGGATTTTCTTTTATAAAAAAAATAAATTATGTTATAGTAGATATAAGTCCATGATCCACACACACCATTGGACCAGGACTATCTTAGAGACTCCTATATGTTTATATTCAAACTATTAGTATTATTATAATTGCAATGAAAATAATTTCCATATTAATTTCAGTGGTACAGCTTCGAGTTTGTGGTGGTTTGCACAGGGAAGTATGGAGACATACCAAAGATTCCAATGTTTCCAGGCAAAAGAGGCCCTGAGGTATTCAATGGAAAAGTCCTTCATACACTTGATTACTGTAAACTTAACCAACAAGCTGCTAATAAACTTCTCAGCAACAAAAAAGTTGTTGTAGTTGGTTTCAAAAAATCTGCTCTTGATTTAGCCATGGAGTGTGCACACGCAAACCAAGGTAAAATATATATATATATAACCTATTTTTATTCTTCTGAAATTATAATAATAGTAATAGTTTGAATCGGTTTGGAATTTATAACCGATGTATCTAACCAATAGTTGAGTTAAGTTCAATTCAATTCTTTCTTAATCATATCATAAAGAACCCTAGAGTTGATCTTTTCTGTATTGGGACAGTTATGAATAGATGTATCTATCTGCATGTACACATGCATGCATGGACATAGTCAACTTCATATTTCCCTTTCACAAAAAAAGAGTCAGCTTCATAACTATATGCGTTAAGCATGAATTTTTATTATTAGTCTTTGAAAAGCATAAATTTTTAATGTGGAGAAAAAAATTATTTTGTTTTTACTGAAGAAAAAAATAACTTAAATTCTTCATGGATTATTGGGGCCTTGCGTGTTTAGTTTAGCTTTTGAAAGTGCTTAAAACAATTCTAGACATATATAATTAATTCTAAAATAAAATTGATTTTGCATTTTAGATTAATTCTATTTAAGCTTATAATTTATATTTTAAGTTAAAACATGATTTTTATATTAAAATTAGTGTTCAACTTAATTTATATAAAATTATTCAAAATAAACTACTTTCATTCATCTCACTTTTAATCGGAATAAATATTACAAAATCAATTCACTTACTTATTGTTTTGTTGTTTGACAAAAAATTATGAAAGCACGTTTTCAATGAATTAATGTGGAAGGTTGAAAGCAAATGTAGCAAGCATGTTTATTAATATTCATTCAACTTTCTTTGTTCATTTTCTCATACATGCTAGTTTTCCAATTTTAGTGTTTCTTTTGTTTATCCAATTTTGGGTTGTCACAAGTTTCTATGGCCACAATTAAATGTTTGTTAATTTGACTAATTTGTTGGAATTCTTTTACTGTATGTTTGTTGGTTGAACACTTTCTCTATCTTAACATGTTGCTTTTATTTTCCATTTGTCCTGTTGTGGGTCATGAAGACCAAAAGAATATTCCAACTAGTTTTTCAATTTATTTTCTTCTGAATTAACTAGACATTTCATGGATCTATTTTTGTCTTGGTTTAATTATGATAAATATTTTTAAAATTATTTTTAATTATAATTTAACCGCGACAAATTTCAATGCCATAATTAAGAGTAATAAAGTTGAGAATACGGAATTAAAATTTAGGCATGTCCAGTAAAAAAATGTGAGGATAGAAAAATCTAAAAACACAAAATTTTAGGTAAATATTTGTATCCGCAAAAATTTACAAAAAAAATCGAAACAAATCAGGACAGAAATATTAAAAGGTGAGAGCTTAAACCTGTAAATCACTTCACACTAAAATACAAACAAAACAGACATAATAAACTGAGCCCGTTTTGATACTGAGTCTTTGCACGCCTCAAAAATAGAATGTTAAATTAGCATTTTTATTCATTTTGAAAAGCAATAATCATACATGTCAATCAATAGACTCTTCTATGGCATACTTTTTGAAAAGAGAAAATGAATTTCATTTCAATGACTGATTCTGACATTCATCTACTTTCTCCACATAACAACGTGTGGCAGTCTTACACTAATGCTCTCACATTTCAACACCTCATGTCTTTGAGCTAGTCCTTGCTAACTAGTTCAAATTCAATTGCAAAATAGTATTTTTAGAATAAGCACCTGTATCAAATTTAAATTCAAAACTTTCACCCTAACAAATAGTGTTTAAAGTTTCTAAAATAAAAAGTAATTATTTTTTGGAGTTAACTATATGTAATTAAGCTAATTCTAACTTGTTCATGAAGGAGTTGAAGGAAAACCATGCACCATGGTGATAAGAACTTTGCATTGGACAGTTCCTCATTATTGGATATGGGGTTTGCCATTTTTCTTGTTTTACTCAACAAGATCTTCACAGTTACTCCACCAAAGACCAAACCAAGGCTTACTTAGAGCTCTTCTATGCTTCATGTTATCTCCAATGGTATAAACATGTTTAACATTTTCATTAACAAACTCTTAATCAAATAATTAATTTACATCTAATTGTTACTTGATGTGCAATCCAACAAACAATCTGTTATAGAGGCTTGGCATTTCAAAGTTCATTGAGTCCTACATTCTGTGGAAATCTCCGTTGGAGAAGTATGGTTTAAAACCTGAACACCCTTTCGAGGAAGATTACGCGTCGTGTCAAATGGCTATCATGCCGGAAAATTTCTTCTCTGAGGTGGAAAAAGGCAAGATTCTTTTCAAAAAGGCGTCGAAGTGGTGGTTCTATAACGAAGGGATCGAGTTTGAAGATGGCGCTAAGGTGGAAGCTGACGTAGTGATCCTTGCAACTGGTTTTGAAGGAAAGAAAAAGCTCAAAGCGATTTTACCAGAACCGTTTTGTAGTCTGTTGGAGTATCCTTCTGGTCTTATGCCGTTATACAGGTAAGAAAAGCTGCATCAGTTTATTTCTGTAACGATTATTTTGCTAGCGAAACTAATAGCTTGACTCATGCTATTTATGACAGGGGAACTATCCATCCATTGATTCCAAACATGGCTTTTGTCGGATACGTTGAGAGCGTTTCGAATCTCCACTCTTCCGAGCTACGCTCAATGTGGCTTTCTGGGCTTGTAGACGAAAAATTCAAGCTTCCGAAAGTTGAGACAATGCTTTCGCAGACACTTAAGGAGATGGAAGTTATGAAAAAGTCGACAAGGTTCTATAGAAGACACTGCATTTCGACATACAGCATCAACCATAGCGATGAAATATGTAACGATCTTGGATGGAGTTCGTGGAGGAAGAAGAACTGGATATCCGAAGCGTTCGGCCCCTACAGCAGTCAAGACTACGAGAAGGAAAATTGAATTCATGGCTTATAACCATTGCATAAAAATAGTCAAATTATAAGAAAAATAAAAGCATGTCTTTTCCTTTCAAAATGGTGTGCTAAATTCCTTTCATATACGCCAGAGTCATGTTTCGAAAATGTAGTCATGAATCTTTCATGGTTTATAGCCATGTTAATAAAATAAATCATAGAAATTGCTGAACTTTGTTGTTTCACAAAGCAAAGTCGAACTTACGATATGCAAAAAGATACAGATATGTGACAGTGTTTGTGACAACATCGCGATACATTACAATTGTTTGCTCTCTATAGAAGAAAGAGTATTATTTTTATCACTATCATGTGACCAAAGAGTTCAAAATCAACTACTTAATTACAACGGTTTCATACAGAAGTGACACAGAAGCTTTAAAGGCTTTGAAGTAGTTTCAAGGTCTCATCGATATGCTTTTCGGGTTGGAACTGGTTGTTGTAAACGAGCTGAACCACGCCGTTTTTGTCAATAACATAAGTCTCTCTCCCTGGCAATGATCCAAAGAAATCGCCCGGAACTCCCCATTCTTTCCTTACCTTGTTACCTTCGTCACTCAACAATGTATATGGAAGTTTGTATTTCTGGGCAAATGCCTACATTTTCATGCGATGCATTGGTTAATACTTAATAGGCACAAAAATTTTGCAGTGAAAATTGTGTTTTACCTTGTGAGACGCAGTACCGTCGCCACTTATCCCAACAACCTCTGCTCCTGCTTTCTTGAACTTCTCATATGAATCTCTAAAAGCACAGGCCTGCAATATTTCATAAAGATAAAGAATGAAAACCCGCACGCAAGATTTACGGAGGTTCAGAGATTGATTTCCTGCAATCCCTACTGAGGTTAATTCCATCACTGATCAAGCTGGACACAGCACATGTGTACAACACTTTCTAGTAAAGGAAAATCACAATCCCTCGAACACACTATCTTCACTCTTGATTAATGATTCTATGAAATGTCACTCTTCGATCCCTTTGCAAGAATGCGTCGGATTATAAACTAGTCCATTACAAAAAGCAGTTACAAAGTTCGGTACAAGTTTATAACTGAATCAATATTAACAAATGGCGGAAAGCAAAAAATCTGCCATAAAGCGCAGCCGTGCTTCACAAATTGGCCATGGGAGTTGTTAAAAAATCCATAGTGGCGCCTCCATTGGCTGACATATGACAGAGCATTAACCAACAAGTTTATCAAAGTTCAAACCTAACTAATTAACTAACCTAGAAGATCTGCCAGAACTTACACAATCAACATACTACACATCAAGGACTGAACTGTGGAGCGTGGCCATAAATGGTAGGTGACCCAATAGCGGAAATCTGATAGCAGGTGGCCCAATCGATCTTTAACTAGACTCTGCTATTATGCTAAGAATTGTTGTTGAACCTAACTCAACCTAACAAAACTGATTTGTAAGGTGAGGATTGCTCCCACCTATAAACACATATGTGCATGCTATATATTGTCTGATGTAACACTCTCAACAAACCCTCTCTCACGTCTAGGACTAGACGTCTGGAACGTGGACATAAATTGTGGATAGTCGAATAGCAGAAACATGATAGCAAGTGACCAAATGAATCTTAAACTAGGCTCTTATAGCATGTTAAGAATTGTGGTCAAGTATAACTCATTTTTAAAAATCTCGCGTATAAGGTGAGAATTGTCACCATTTATAAACGCATGACTAAATCATACATTGTCCGACATTAAACTCTTAACAACTATTAACACACATGACTATTATTATAAGCTACAATGTACTCTATATATGAAAAGCAATTATATACCCATAGAAATACAAACCAACTCAACAATCTAACGGAGTTTGGATTAAATTACCTGTTTGGTACAACCAGGAGTCTCATCAGCAGGGTAGAAATAAACAACAACAGGCTTCCCTTTGTACTTGGATAGACTCACACTCTTACCATCCTGATCCTTCAGCGTAAAAGCCGGTGGCTTAGAGCCTTTACTAACCTGCCATTCAGCAATGAATTGAAGATATACAAACAAACTAACTAACAAAGTTATATGTCGTGAATTATCATACCTTGGCAAAAATGAAAGATCGTTTGAACGAAGAAGAAGGGGCTATGGAAATGGAAGAATGAGATAACTTGAGGCCTAGAAACTGAGAGTTGAATGAGGTTGAAGAAAGTGACGATGATATGTTGTGGGAAGATGGAGGAGGGTGAAGTAATGTGAGGAAAGAATTGGTTGGGAGAGTGAGGGAAGAGTTAGCAGCCATGGATGAGGAAGAACAGAGTGGTAACATGTTGTTGTGTATTGTTTTTTCTTTTGGGTGGGAGATATGGGATATGAGATAGAGATATGAGAGAATGTGATGTGAGATTGGAGTTAGTTGGTAGTGTTGTGTGGGTGGATGAAATGAAATCTGTAGGAGCCAACAAGGCAGGATTGGCTTTCTGGCGTGGCCTAATTCTCACCCCCAAACCAACCTTTTCATTAAGGGGTAATGTCAATGTAAACTTGTCTCTTTATGGTGTACTACAAGCTTATGAACTAAATATAAGAATATTTGTCATAAAAGCCTTACATTTAACTTTTAAATTTTAAAATGTTATACTATTTGATAATAAATTTTTACTTTTTTTTGGGTGATTTACTTTTAGATTTATTAACTTGTGTCCTAATGCACAAGTTGGCAAAACTTTTTTTTAAAATTATTGTGACAAAATAAGTATGATTTTATATTGTGGAGATCACACAATAATATATATAAATTTCAAAGTGTATTTCTTAAAAATAATTATCAAAGTTTTTTTTTAATATATCAAAATAATAATAGATTAAACAATAAGAGTAAAGACGAAATTAATCTTAAATCAATAAAAGTTTGTAGAAGTATTGAAAGATGAGGCATTCATGCATGTCAGTCTAATACAAGCAGAAAAGATCAAAATAGTGGATAAGGCCAAGAGTATCAATATATTATGCTACAGAGGTAGAGCCTTAAGGAAAGTCGCAAGGGAGAAGAATACAGTTGAGATGCGGGGCAAACTTGAATTATTGTATATGATCAAATCTTTGACTCACAGTTTTTGTCTAAAACAACAATTCTACGCATTTTGAATGGTGGATAACAGATCCTCTGTGGAGCAATTGACATAATTTAGCAAGATAACTAGTGTCTTGCAAAATATTAAGGTGAAACTTAATGGTGAAGACAATGGTTTATTCTTATTGAGCTCATTATATATATCTTTTGAGCATTTCAAAAGTATGACATTCTTTATGGCAAGGAATGCATTATCATCTTGGAGGAGGTAGAATCATCCATCAGAATCAAAGAGTTAATCAAGATGAAAGAGTTGAAGGTTGATGAAATTGGTGAACACTCAAGTGTTTCAAGACGAAGAAGTGGGAGTAGGGGAAACTAAATGGTGAAGAACTTAAAATCCATGGGGTTTTGATTAATCGAAGTTAAAATGCTTCATTTGTCATAAAATTGACCACTTCAAGAACGATTGTCCCGATAGGAAGGGCAAGTAATATTTAATTCAGACTGTGGTTTCCTCATATGAGGATTGTTATAAGACAGTTGGTGGGTAAGTGGTGACAACTTTGAAATAAAGAAAAGTTGGATCATGAACTAAGGATGCTCTTATCACATGTAGCCAAAGAAATAATGCTTTGAGACTTTGGAGTTGAATGAAGGTGAAATCTTTTGACTCAATAACAATATGTGAAGGTGAGAAACGTATACAAGAAGGGAAGTTGAATTGTGTTTTTTGTTTTCTTAATTTGTGTCTGATCATAGTTCAAAATCTAAACTAGTGCTCAGATTCTAGTTATACTTAGCATCGGAATGTTAATAGAAGCAAACAAATAATAGCAAAAGACACAAAGATTTATATCGGTTCCTCCAAAATGAGAGTAGTCCAGTCCCCTTGCTTCACAAGAGATTTTTACTATAATCAAATCATAATTACAATCGTTTATACATTCTACATAAGACTTTTACAATGCTCAGACCCTAAGCCTGAGACTTCTTGCTTAAAGCCCTAAGGATCAAGGCTTACTTGCTTAAGTCTACAGATTCAAGACTTCCTTGCTTAGACCCCCAGCCTAAAACTTTCTTGCTCAGGTCCCTCAGACCCGAGAATTCCCACTCAAGCCCCTCAGGGCCAATTCTTCTTTCTCAGACCCACAGTCAAAGGCTTCCCTACTCAGGTTCCACGAACCTAAGACTTCCTGCTTAAACCCCTCAGGTTCAAGACTTCTTCTCATACCCTCGATCTGAGACTTCCTTGCTCAGGTTCCACAAGCCCAAGACTTTTGCTCAATCAATCCACTTGATTAAGTCTTTCATTGCTCTAGCACATAGTATGAGACTTACATGGCTCAAGCATCTTGGCGAGAGACTTGGTTGCTCAATCAATCCATTTGATTAAGACTTTCAATGCTCTAGCACATAACTAGAGACTTACATGGCTCAAGCATCTTGGCAAGAGACTTGGTTGCTCAATCAATCCACTTGATTAAGACTTTCAATGTTTTAGCACATGGCTCAAGCATCTTGGCGAGAGACTTTGTTGCTCAACCATTCCACTTAATTAAGACTTTCAATTCTCTAGCACATAGCAAGAGACTTACATAGCTCAAGTATCTTGGCGAGAGACTTAATCTAAACTGCTAAATAACATGTTCAACAGAATAGAGAATAAGATGTACTTGATACAAATATCAGAGGTACACCATAACAAAGACCTAAAGCTCTTAATATTTCTAAGATATTCAATGTTTAAGAAATCTTAAGGCTTTTACAATTACAACATACAACAGAAATTATGCATACTCGATTGTGTTAATAATTAATGGTCTTATTACTCCTCTATCAGGTTGATCCTTGTTAAACATTCATCTACTTATATAGCATTTGCAGAAGACTAGTCATTGGAGAGATAAATTGCTCAAGTGTCTTTGATTTCTTCATAATACAAGAGACGTTGAAGATAGATACACCAAAAGATCTTGATCCATTGTGTAACATGTTTAACCACTGAGTATTCAAAGAGATCTTGTACTATAGAGCCGTTGAGAAAAGATATTTGTAAAGCATGCCAACTTTTCTTGAGCCTTCTGAACTAAGACTCTAGCTGACAAACTGATTTTATAATGTAGCTTGCTTTCTACAGTACGGGTAACTTCAGCTTTATCACTAACTCTGAATTATCACCAGAAGTCAATTTACATTCACCAAATGTATAGACAATTATGTTGTTTCTTCTGATGCTGAGACCTTCAGCTTTAGAGTCTACGCTAGATATCACTTAGAGAGTGTTCTTCATATTCTGCACCACCAGAAGCTACCAATTCAGCTTCTCTCAAGTGTGCCCTTGTATATCAGATTCTGAATATATATATATATATATATATATATATATATATATATATATATATATATATATATATATATATATATATATATATATATATACTTTGTTATCATCAAAACCAAAGGAATATATGTCATGAACTAATCTTATTCTAACAATCTCCCTCTTTTTCATGATGACAAACATAAGTATTTAAAGGACAATGTTGGCAAGTTATAACTTTCTTTGCAACATCAGAGTATGAGGATTGTAAGCTCCCCCTGAGTCTAATTGTCCAAAGTTGAGTTCTGTAAACCCACCCTAAATACTACTTTCAAGAAAAAGTATTTTAGTTTTCTTAGTAACATCATAGTCTGAGGTTTGCAAGCTCCCCTGAGTCAAATAGTCCAAAGTTGAGGTTTGTAAGCTCCCCCTTAGATCTATATTTAAGAAAACTAAAAATAATATTTTAACTTCCTTTGGCAACATCAGCATACGAGGTTTGTAAGCTTTCTCTAAGTCTGATAGTATAAGTTTGAGATTTGTAAGCTCCTCCTTAATTCTATGTACAAGAAAGGTAAAATATGTCGTCCAGGCAAAATAACCATTATGTACAAAAATTTAAATACAAACATTATAAATGACCTTTATGTAATAACTGAATGGGTTCAGTTTCTAATTAAATACTTACTATTTTTTCTCTCCCATTTGTCACATCAAAAAGAATAAAAAGAGAAAGAAGAAAAGAATTACAGTCATAAATGCATAACAAGCCATCATTACAAGATCAATTTCCAAGGAAGGGAAAACGGTCAAGTAACATTGATCAATAAAGGATTGTGTCGTGCATGTTAAATATTTATTGGTCATAAAAGTCCCAATAATTAAGCAAAGGATCTTATTATGTCTATTAGGTTACTCATAAGCCATTATAAAAGCAACCAAAACCTAGTTCGTTTTCATCAAGATCCATCATTACATCATGTAGTCATCAGCTGAGAGCAATAAAATCTTTGTTGTGACAGAAGTCACAGAGAGCTCTACGAATATGAATATCCAAAACCTTCAGAAGCCAGCAACCATGAACACTTTAGAAGAAGTTTCATCAGCAGTGCCTCAACAACCTACAGAAGCAGGTCCTTTGGTAGCTATGATGAAACCAAAGAAGAAGTCCATGAAGAAGACAATGAGGAAGAAGTTCAACAAGATGTTTTACTGTCTTGTTGTTCCAGAGGCAGAAGAGGAGGACATATATGAAGATGAACCAAATATTGATTATGGAAATTGTTTCTCCTACAAGAAAATGGATGACTTAGATAGGGATTTATTCTAAGTTCATACCAATTTCTTTTGTAATATTTATTTTATAATCCTTTAACTTGATCAATGAAGAAGAAGTTTTGACTAATTTATTTCTATATACATAGCATGCAAATAATCACTTTATTTTTTCCTTAATGATTTTCTGATAAAAACATTAATGAAGTAATAAGATAATCAGAAGCAACAATTAACATGTTAACAATATTATCTACAGATTTTAAAAGAATCTTAATAGGTCAAAACACTAGACATCATTTCCAAGAGTCAATATTTAAAATTGATTTGACTTAATCAATAATGATACTTAAAGGTAATGAATGTCACGATTCTATAAAAACCCCTTAGCAGACTCACTTTCATAACCATTTAATCTTTTGAACACCAAAATGTATAAGCAAAAGAAAATTTGGGTTCCAAAGAGAGAATTCAGAAAGATAGTCATGTTTAATGCAACAACTCAAGCAAACAAGAGTGATGAAACAACTGAAGGATCTACAAGTAAGCAGATGGCTTCAGAAGCACACACTTCTTCAGTAACCTTTGTTGAGATACACAGAAGAAGAACTTCTAGGTCAAAACGTAGAAATCAACTGAGAAAGGAAACTGTAGAGTT